CATAATAGACGACCCTTTTTATAAAAAAAACCGTCGTCTTTACATATAATAGACGACCCTTTTTATATTAAAATGGTCGTCTTTACACATAATAGACGACCATTTTCATATAAAAAGGGTCGTCTTTACTTCATAATAGACGACCCTTTTTATAAAAAAACCGTCGTCTTTACATAATATAGACGACCCTTTTTATATTAAAATGGTCGTCTTTACACATAATAGACGACCATTTTTATATAAAATGGTCGTCTTTACTTCATAATAGACGACCCTTTTTATAAAAAAAACGTCGTCTTTACTTAATAATGGACGACGGTTTTGAGTAAAAGCGTCGTCTTTACAAATAATAGACGACGGGGATTTACCGTCGTGGTTTTATGCATCAAAAGATGTCGCTCGATTTCACGACGGTTGAAAAACCGAATACACGATGGTGGATTACCGTCGTCTATTTCGATTTTTCTTGAAGATAGCAGAGCAACTAAGCTGAACGCATGAGTTGTCAACTGGTTATCTGGAAATTAAGCAGGCTTATTTGAAAAGATCTTGAGTTTTTCAAGTGTTTTTGAGACGTTGCGTCTAGTTTGGAGAGAGAGTCCCCTTCTTCTGTGGCGAATGCTCTTTATTTATAGGCAAGGAACTTCAATGATGAAGGCTGAAAGAGGATATTTGGCTGTTGCCCAAAGTCAACTGCTGATTTGTTGATCTAGTCCGGTTAATAGGCGGAATGATGGGATGTTTCTGACAAAACCGCTGGTCTTTTGCGATATTTCCCTGACTTGAGTTCTTTGTACCCGGAAATCTGGTTGGCAATTCAGCTCCTTCTAGTTCTGGGGGCTTTTGTCCAGCTTGCTTTCTTGTTAAGCGAGAAGAAGGTCAAGTCGTCATTAATGGTGACAATATTCTTCAGACCCTCACGTGGGTCAATGTGTAACGGTTACCGATCGTTTTAACTTTAGTGCAACTCAAAGGCCTGGGCTTTCTGACTTTGTGGGTTTTTCTTAATTTTCTTTGTCTATTGACGGCCCACTAAGTAAAAGGGCTTCTCTTGTTTTTAAAGAAGATAAAAAGATATTGGGCCTGGACTTCAAAATATATTTTTTGAGAGATATACCATTTTTTGGTCCGTTTACAAAATATGGTACAAACACACTGCTTAAATCTGCCTCACCAAAAGACACAGAGTTGCTGACCGGAATAATGATGACCTCAAATCTACGCCCAAAACAGCAAACTCATACAACCAATGAAAAAAAAGAAACTAACTCATAAGTAAAGATACATCAAACCCCCTTTTGTTAGTTTATGGGAGAAGAGGTTTAGGAAATGGTTGGTTTTAGTATTTAGGACAATAGCTTGATGTGGGATGGAAAACTTTTTGAAAGAGTAACAAAGTAATTTTATTTGAATGAGGAGGAAAGTTACAAAGTTTTAGAGACTTAGTTGGATACAAGACAGCTGGTAATTTTCAGCTTTTCTTGCTTGATTACATAAGTGGGCTGCTAGCTTATATATAGTGATCCTAGCCGACTATCTAAGTTTGCGTTTTGCTTAGTTGAGTCGGTTTGAACAGTAACCGACTTTGTCATTTCCAGCCACATATTGTAGTTTGAAACTAAAGCTTTCTACTAGCTTCAATTAAGTTAGTGACTAGTGTTTAGGGAATACATCCACCGACTTTGCATTCTAAAATATTCTGGAAAATTTTGCTAGCCAAAAGTTCATAGTCCTCTACAACCTATAAGAATTAGACCAAGATACTTGAGCCAAAAATACCAATTTAGAGCATTTACGTGTACCAACCAATGAAAATAAGAAACTAAACTGTAAGGAAAGATGCATCATTAATAATCAGGGCATACACATTATAAAAAATAAAAAATAAAAAAAAAATAAAAAATAAAAACAAGAAAAGAGACGAACGATATTCCAAGAAATAAAATTCACAAGGCAATAAATTTCCAATTTAGAGCAGAAACTAAATCATAAGTCAGGAAGGATGCATTAAAACCCCCTTTCACGAACACTATTCCTGAAGAAATTTCAAGAACTCTGCAAACTCATACCTGAAATCAGGTCCTATATATGGCTTAGTAGCAGGATCATGTTGGAAACAATGGTTGTCATCTCCCGTCTTGGGAACAACCTGGAAAATTTTAAAATAATAATAATAATTAAAAAACAGCAACAAAAGTCCAAAAATGAAATACCCAGTAGACCCTATAGAACACTTGTTAATGGTAATTCCCTCTAATTAGCTCTGTTAAGCTTTAATTAAAGACAGAAGTACTTTCTACTAGCTTCAACTAGTAATTCCAGCCAACAGTAACTTGTAACTTGTAATTCCAGCCACATATTGTAGCTTCAACTAGAACTTTCTACTAACTTCAATTAAGTTAGTGACTAGTGTTAGCTTGTAAAAATTATCCTAGAAAATTCTGCTAGCTTATAAAAATCTCCACCAAATGTGCATTATTTTTCAACACTGGGACCATCCATAATTATTTTTCAACACTGCAACAAACCCTTTGGCTCTATAGATTGATAGAAAGATTTCTTCTTTTTATACTTTCATCTATATGAGACTTGGTTTCTAATTTTCTCCATGCATAAAATTTGCATTCAGAACAAGATGGAACACTCACAAACTCATTCTAGCCAGATTTTGTTTACATTTTTCCTTTTTTTACGGTGGACCACATGTCTGCAATCTGCAACACTATCCACTTCTGGAAATGAATCTGATCGCCTGGCATTGCTAGACTTCAAGAAAAGAATAACTCAAGATCCTCTCTATATCATGAGCTCATGGAACGATTCCATTGATCTCTGCAGTTGGGTAGGCGTTACGTGCAACCCTGCCACGAAAAGGGTCATGGTTTTGAACCTGGAAGCTCAAAAATTGGTAGGCTCCTTATCTCCTTCTTTGGGAAATCTTACTTTTCTTACTGGAATCAACCTGAGAAACAACAGCTTTCATGGTGAAATTCCTCAAGAAATCGGTCGCCTACTGAGCCTGCAACATCTCAACCTGTCTTCCAATTCCTTTGGTGGGAAAATTCCATTTAATATATCTCACTGTATGCAACTAACCGTACTCGATCTTACTTCTAATAAGCTTTTTGGGTCAATTCCTAACCAACTCAGTTCATTGTTGAATTTAGTTAGTCTAGGTCTTGGTCGTAACAATCTCACCGGAACTATCCCACATTGGATAGGAAACTTTTCGTCTTTGGAAATCTTTGTGCTTGCTGCCAACAATTTTCAAGGAAGCATACCCAATGAACTTGGGCGTCTAACAAACTTGAGAAGATTTATAGTCTGGGATAATAATCTGTCTGGTATGATCCCTACTTCACTCTATAATATTTCATCCATATACTACTTCGCTGTTACTACAAACCAGCTGCATGGAGAGCTACCACCTAATGTGGGAATTACTCTTCCTAATCTTGAAGTATTTGCCGGTGGGGTCAACAAGTTCACTGGAACTGTTCCTCTGTCATTGTCCAATGCTTCGAGACTTCAAGTGCTTGATTTTGCTGAAAATGGTCTCACCGGGCCAATCCCCGCTGAAAATCTTGCAACTTTGCAGAGCTTAGTTAGACTCAACTTTGGTCAAAATAGACTAGGAAGTGGGAAAGCTGGTGACCTGAATTTTCTCAGCTTCCCAGCTAATTGTACTAGTCTTGAGGTGTTGGGTCTTAATGATAATCATTTTGGAGGAGAATTGCCAGCATCAATCGCCAACCTTTCTACCCAACTAAAAAGGCTTAATTTGGGGACCAATTTGATACATGGAAGCATCCCTAACGGCATTGGAAATCTTATAAACTTTACCTTTCTGGGAGTGGCCGAAAACTATTTGGGTGGTAGTGTCCCTGATGTAATCGGGAAACTTCAGAAGTTACAGGGTGTTGAGTTGTTTGCTAACCAATTTTCTGGGCCGATTCCGTCCTCCCTAGGTAACTTGACTTCATTGACAAGGCTCTTCATGGAAGAGAATACGTTTGGGGGAAGTATACCACCAAGTTTCGGGAACTGCAAAAATCTACAGATACTTAACCTTTCAAGTAACAATCTAAATGGCACCATTCCTAAAGAGGTTATTGGGCTTTCATCCCTTTCAATTTCTTTGTCCATATCTAACAATTTTTTGACCGGTTCACTACCATCTGAAGTGGGTGATCTGAAAAATATTGGGGAGTTAGATATTTCGGAAAACAAGTTATCAGGTGAAATCCCAGCAACCCTCAGCAGTTGTATTAGTTTGGAGCGTCTTCATTTGCAAGGTAATAAACTTGAAGGATCAATTCCCCTAACATTAGAAATGTTAAGAGGCTTGGAAGAAATAGACATTTCGCGTAATAACTTATCAGGGAAAATTCCCAAGTTTCTAGGAAATCTTGGATCTCTTAAGCATCTCAATATTTCTCATAACAATTTTGAGGGTGAATTGCCTAGAGAAGGGATCTTTTCAAATGTAAGTGGTGTCTCAATCCTTGGAAATAATAGGCTATGTGGTGGAATTCCAGAATTCCTTCTTCCTGCATGCTCTAGCAAAAAGCGCCATTCACCTCGAGGATTACTTGCCCCAAAAGTATTCATCCCTATAACTTGTGCACTAGCATTTTTAATTGCTCTGTCATGCTCCTTTGCTGCTTGTTCATATGTGAAAAAGTCAAGAGATAGACCAGTCACTTCGCATTCTTATACGGATTGGAAATCAGGTGTTTCTTACTCTCAACTCCTTCAAGCAACTGATGGGTTCTCTGTGGACAATCTGATTGGCTCGGGAAGTTTCGGTTCTGTTTACAAAGGAGTACTCCCTACTGATGGAACGGTAGTTGCTGTTAAGGTATTAAACCTTCAACAAGAAGGAGCTTCCAAGAGTTTTGTTTACACCCGAAATAAACAGCCAATAAGGGCAAGACACGTGGAGAAAACTGGGCTTGGTCAGAGGCGCCCTCGGCACTCTACCTACCGATCTCTCCATTAGGGCAACACCCTCTCCTGGGACACGTGGCACGCTCCCAAGCGACGTCCACAGTCCCACATCGAACTTATCAACAAATGCACACCTCCCAAGACCTATAAAAGGAGGCCAACTATCCCAAAATAGAGGTAATCAGAACTTACGGCATACAAGCCTATTGATCTGTCAGTTGAACTTTCTATTCCCGAACTTACTTAAGCATCGGAGAGCCTTCGGCCGGTACCACACCGGTGCCCCAGGTCTTACCGTGCGTTTGCTCATATTGCAGATTGCGCAGGCTACCGAGGCATCAAGGATACCGAAGGCATACAATTACTAAGTTGACCCTCTAAGTCAGAGAACCACTTTTTGGCGTCAACAGTTTGGCGCCGTCTGTGGGAACTCGATAAAATCGACCCTTTATCCCGAACATATGGGGACCACTGAAAAAACTACGTTCGTACCACGAGAGGGGATGCCGTTCGGCATGCCAAGCGGGGTTAGCCCTGCGCCAGCCCCCTACACACCGGCAACTAATCCCCCTGTAACCCAAGCCACCGAAAACGCGGAGCTTTTAGCCCAAGTCGTGTCCCTTCGGCATGACATGGCTAGGATGCAAGAACACAATAATCTTCTCTCGACCAGAGTGGAAGAAACGCAACTGCTGTTAAACCAGCAGCAAACGCAGAACATGCCGACAGATCGATCGTCCGAAAGCCTACAGACTCCTCGTCGGCAGAAGAAGGGCAAGAAGGTGGCAAAGGCAACGCCTGCGCCGTCTAAACAATTGGTGGTCCCGGCACCCAAAAATAAGCCCCATGTACCGAAGAAGGTCTACTCCGATTGCCGACACCGGCTGCTAGAGCGAGAAGTCGAACGGCATTCCGAACGGCAGCAATCGCCGATCAGGATCAACGCCCGCTTGGACGACCCCCGACTGAAGAACATGGGGAGGAAGTCTCCGATACGGAGGATACAAGTCCTAGAATCCACGGCAGAGTCTGACCATGAGTACACTCCTTCCACCAACCGGTCATCTCCCTACCGTTCGGCAACCCCGACGAAGTTCTCGGAGGTCAATCCTGCTAGATCCCAGCAGCGATCGGCACACCAGATTGCAGAGGAGATACCGGACAGGGACCCTGTCATTCGCCTCCTCCTTCAAAGGGTACAGAAGATGGAGGACGATCGGACTCGTTCACAGGAGCCAGACTGGGGAAGGCTTCGGCCAGGACCCTTCACCGAGCGCATAAGGCACTCACGGCAGGATAGGGATGTGCAGCCCCTCCGCATCACCCCCTACACAGGGGTGGAGGATCCACTGACGCACCTTCATTCTTTTCAATCGGCAGTAGGGTGCCGAGGGCTAAGGGACGGTCGATTCCTTCGACGAGCTGAAGCAAATCTTCCTGAACCACATCATGATTCAGACGGACAGACTGTACTCTGCCGATGAACTGTATACCATCCGGTAGAGAGATGACGAACCATTGCGTGAGTATGCCGCACGGTTCAGCCATGAATACTCGAGATGTCCGAATACCGATGACAGGGCAGCCTACGACGCCTTCAAGAGTGGCCTACGGTCCTCACACTTTCGGTATCTGGTACACAGCAGCAATTGGCGTACGTATGATGAACTCATGAAGCAAGCGGCAATCCACGCCAAGGCTGAATACTTCAACTCGAGGGCCGAGCCCACGTCTCGGCAGAGCGAACCCGTACAGCGTCCCTCCACGGCACAGGCATCGCCGTACGCACCAGCAACCCAAACTGCTGCGTACTCTGAAAGTCACAAACGCAAAGATGCCGGAAGCTCCCAAAAGGGGCATTCCAAGAAAAACAAGAGCAGGTACGGCAGGGACAACTACCGAGCCCCACTAACGGCACATAACCAGGGGACAGAGGTGTTCACCCTGCTCAACACCTCCTACGAGGCAGTGTTGCTGAACGAAAACGAGATAATCCCGAAGTCATCGTTCAGAAAGCCCAACCAGCAAGACGGCAGGGACACAGGGAAATTCTGTCGATACCATCAGCAGAATAGCCACAATACCGAGGACTGCATGAGTTTGCGAAAAATCGTTGAACGGTTAATTCGGGAAGGCAAACTGGACCAATACATAGCCAGGCCCCAGCAGGCGCCAGTCCCGAACGCTAATCGGCAGATCAACATGATCAGCACGATTAGCGGAGGCCTAACCCTTGCCGGAGCATCTAACCGGTCGATAAAGCAGTATGTCAGGGCGGCACAGTACCCCCAAGTCCTCGGCATTGAAAGCAGCCGGCACACAAAGATGCCGAAGGTCAGGTGGGAACCCATCACCTTCTCCGAAGAAGAAGAGGAAGGGATCATCTACCCACACAACGACCCTATGATCATCCGAGCCGACATTGCCGAGTTCGATGTCGGACGAATCCTGATCGACAATGGGAGTTCGGTAAACGTCATCTTTGCCGATGCATTCAAAGAACTCGGGATAGATGACAGCCAGGTCAATCGGCAACTCTCGCCTCTCCTAAGCTTTTCGGGAGACTTGGTCCAGCCCATCGGCAGTGTCAGTCTGCCAATTTCTTTTGGCACAGCCCCACGAAGGACTATGGTCTACGACCAGTTCCTTGTGGTGGACTGTCCTACGGCATACAACGTTATTGTCGGCCGAACGGCGCTCACGGCAATAAAGGCCCACTTGTCCC